CATCACCTATCCAGGTGTCAAGACATCATCCTAAATACAAAGGGAAACATGGGTCTTATGGCTTTTGTCTTTTAAGGCTCCTTATTACTTCCTTTGAATTGTTGTCACCTCCTACCCCCTACCATCAGTGTTCTCATCCTGTCATCTGTATTCTTTGCAAATTTGAATGTTCTAGGTTCAGTGGGACAGGAGTTATGAATTTCCGGTCAGACAAACACACACACAAACACACACATACACACAAACATACCAACAGACACACTTAGCCGATTATATAAGTAGGATATTGGATGCTCACTGAAAAAGTAGGCAACGACTTACTATTTGTTTCCGTTCGCCATTCGCGATGATTGGTGTAATAGTTCCAGATTCTCATTAGATTCAAGATCAGATTAGGTTTTTGCAGCCGTATGTCTGGCTCCGGAATGAATGCTAATTCGTTAGTGAGGTCATTCGGCTTGACTTTTCCTCGACTTGCCTTAAAAATAGCCTGACTAATGGAAAGTTCGGGAAAAGATACATATTCCATATTCTTCTACATATTTATTTGAATGTTTGGAGCATGTTGCTTTGGTAACCAGTTGCGACCTCGCCCCATTACTACGAATCGACTCAATCAGCTCCAATTTGAGAGCGAGTTCATTAAACACGCTTACGTGGTTCGTCGCTGACGCTGTCATTGTTGTTCTTTCACCTATTTGTCCTGCTTTCCTGATCAATTCAATTGCTATGTTTGTTTAGATTTGTTGATGTTTATCGTTCAATAGAGAGAACGTCCTACTGCTGAACGTATCTATAAAATCAAACCTCTTTGTGATAGGCACACACCTCTTTGTATGTACCGTTGTAGTCTGCAGCACTTTAGATGGTTTCTGACGCTACATTCACGACAAACTGCATGAATACGCATGCGTAAAGGTTCTCCTCGAAATCTTTTTTCAAAACTAATAGCGAAATACTTTATAATGATTTTTCATCGTGTTGGACTTTTTTGGGCATTTACTTTCATTTATTTTCCTAATGGATAATGTATGGCTAGGAATATCACATGAATTTGTGTACTAGTAAGATTTGCTTGCCACAGAAATTCCGAACTCAACTCGTTCTATTCCCAGCCATTCTGAGTAGTAAACTCAAATTTTGAACTCGAGGGCTAGAATGGACTTGAGGAGGACCCATTCTATGTACATATGTATATGGTCATAGAGTTCCCAAGGAAAACGTGCAAATCAGCCTTCAATCCTCCGCCGTTCACCGTCATTTTTTTCATATTCTGAGTTGAAACTTCTTATTTGCCACATAACCTCTTGACCATCTACGTTCCCTTCTGTGACAGAGCCTGAATGCCCGGGAACGTAGGGTGCTCCTTTTTCACCAATGATACTGCATCACTGATCACAAACCTTTCATTGTGGGATCAGATCACAACTACCTATTGATACAAAAGCAGGGTTCTTTTCCATAAACCGAAGGATTGATATTCAGTGTTCGATGACGCAGTGTTTTCGGAAAAGTTTAGGTAAGAGGTGTTGAGGGAAAAATTTGCATATGGATGTAGTTCAAGGTGAAAAATTTGCCACCAGTGCCACAAGAGCTGTGGGTGGATTCTCTGTTGGGAAGCGCGTTGTACAGTAAGATATCAATTGATTGTTCATTAGTGTTAAGTATATGAAGTCATAATTATCTTCTGGTCCGCTTTGGATCATTCTCTCCATTTCGAAAGAATAACTCAAGATCGCGTCAGTCGCCTGAGTTTCCTTTTCTATAACTTTTCTTAGTCCATTACTTTTGAGTTTTGAGGGAGTTTGTACTTCCCTCTCACACACTCCCGTAATTTATCGATAACTATTATTGCAGAATGAGCATTGTACTAGTCGCTGCGACTGCCCTACTGATTACTGGTAGCACTATGGCAGGAAGCCCTGGCTGCCAGGAAGACAATGGTTATTCGGATGACTCAGTTCAGAACACCGATGAGCCATTGGATCCGTCTGAGGAGATCTTTCCCGCGAAGCCTCAGGCTCAGGGTGGTGCAATTATAGGTGCTAGCAACGTACCTTTGAATCCAGCTGGAGCACCTGGTGGAGGACCGGATGAGGCAGTTCAAGGTTCTGCTGGCGTGTCTCAGAATTCTGGTGAAAGGCCGACAATGATGGATCAGGTAGATATCACATTTGCTCTAGTTTGCTCTACTTATTAAAATCCTGCAGAAACTAAAACTGCAATATGAATACGTGCATATCGGTGCAGTTGCCGTCAGGTCGAAACTATGGATCCCTCTATCGTGTTGAGGCAATTTATTTTCAACACATAAGATGAGGGGTTCTACCACGGCTACTCATCCCAGATTCGACGCACTGGAACTGTTGCACTTACCGCCGGCAAGCAAATGCACAGAGAAGAGTATACTGTTGCTTTGTTAATACCAGGAGTGACAGCACAGAAGTGAAAACTCAGTACGGCACGTGGTTCCCTCAGTAATCTATTTGAGGATTCTGGCTCGTAGGGGTGCTCCTGATGTAATGCGGCCCCTTGCGCGCCTAAAAAACAGTCCGATCACTTTCCTCAAAGTCCATTTTCAATGCGTCGCATATGTGATGGGTGGGGATTTCTGTATTCATATAATGTTACGTGAAAGGAAGTTCGTTGACTGTGAAATTCCGCTTCTATTGCACTTTATTTCACCATAAGGTCACTGTAGGAACAGAATGCCCTTGAGGAATTTCTGTTCACGTCATGACAAGACGAAGTTGGGTCTACTGCCAGTCTTCCCTTACCACGATTCACACCAAGCTTGATTTATTCAAAAAACTTGCTATTCATTAAGGGCAGAAAACGAACGATTGATCTAAATGACATGGTCAGCAATGCGACCCGCCTCGAGACTCGGCTCCGTGGATATCCCACTGCTGCAGTTGTTACGGTATGCCTATTTCTTTGAGCCTTAACTTCGCAATTATGATATCAATCTTTGGTAATAGGTATGCAACCATGTTGAATGCCCAGAGAGGTATACATTTAAGGGCAATAGGAAACTCACACATGATTTTACACGCGCCGTACATAGTGTCGTATCCAGATTTTTCAGTTTCTATGCGATATTGGGATTATATGAACCTGCTTCGTTTGGCAGATTAATATTTTCTACTTCTTGTAGGTTAAACAGTGCGAATGGTTGCGGTTGATATTCCGAATAAGTACTGAGCAAAAGTCATTTCTAGTAGTAAACAAGGAACGCCATTTCCGACCAGTTTGGCGATCCCGAATCTGAGAGATTCCCGCAACTCCAATTAAAAATCACAGTTCTTTACCAGGTGTTCCCCTGGAATGAATCTGACATCCAATTATGCCATGCGATAATTTGCATATTTGAATATGCCGTTTTGCGTCCTACTGAGTGGCGTTTTGCTGAAGAACTTTCAACCATCAAAAAAGGTACCAAACTTTGATGTGGGGTATCTTCTCCCGGGAAATGCTAGCGCTCTCGCCGCACCCTAACCTTGCGCGCCATGAGGGAGAAGAATCGTAGTCCAGTGGAAGGATGCGGGAGCCGCCCTGCGACCGCAGCCGTTTGCCGTGAGATTCGGGGGAAAACCACTCCCAAAGGTTTATGCTCTTTTCATGCTTTCAGAATAGCTTATCCTTGTCTTGCTTTTCAGGAGCTTATATCTCGCCTACGGCGCATATCTCCGTCGGATGCGCGTATGTTGGCGAATCCTCAACGTGATAGTGATAACGCGCTTGTGGACAATGTGCTAGTTGCAAATAACCTTATCAAGTGAATTTCTCATAATTAAGCTACGTGATTCAACTTTATAGCAAGAATTTCAGCAATATGTTGGCAGCTTCTGACGAAGAGCTTTTCCGTCGTCCACCAAATGTTGGTGCGCTCGTTCTCGCTTCAAACAACATTGATAATTATATCAGAACACATGAGCGAATGACCAGCGAAGAAGATCTTTCAGTCTAAATTCAATATGATAAATTGTTGCTTTTCTGCGTATCCTTGGAATAGTACAGATCAATTCAGATACAATCGAATGAATGATAGGGTGGAATGCTTGGTCCTAAAGTTCACCAATGTCCCCCAAACGATTGGCTTTTTCAGCCCAATTCGATATAATGCCATTTTATGATCAGCCAAAATTTGTTCTTTCCAAACAATGGAGCAATCACTTCCATCAAGATACTGAAGAGTTGCTGCTTTGCTTGGAATATTTACTCCGAACGATGGAGCACCAGGACACCTTCATTGAATGTTGTAGCACCGATGGTTGTCAGATCGAATCTCGGCAGTATTATACACCTAAATGGCCATGGTTTTGCAGGAAGGAGAACCAATGAATGAACACACAGCGTCGTATCCACAGACATTTACTTGAACTCGATCTCAAACACTGCACCATGTAGTCTCTATGGATCACTAAATTTACCATTTAAGGGTGTCGACTCCCCTTAGATCTTTGAATAGAGACCTGAGAATATTGTTAGAATTCAGAATGCCGTTTAAGGAGATAGAAGTCGAAGTTTCTGTATGAGTCTTCGGAGAAAAATGGTATGAGCGCTTGAGGTTTGCTTGCGCAAAGTTCAAAGCTAGTGTTAGCTAAAATGCACAGTTATGCACGAAGATATCGCCAAAGCATGGGGATAGCCTTCACCCCACGGGAATTCGCTTCTGACAGCGGTAGGACTTTTGCACAGCGTAGTTTCCTTCCAATGAAAGAGTTCCTAGCAGCCCACATCTATCCAAGCAAGGGCCTGTTTTGGCTAGAACATCCACTAGTTGCGCTTATTCAAGACAAAAATGGAACGTAGCGGTGGGCACACTACATCGCATGGTCCTGTTTCGAATTCCGATCCATTTGCGCCTAGGTAACCAAGCCCTTCATCCTTTGCGAGCCGCTTGATTGGTAGCAGCCTTGGTCAGGGGGACAAAAGCACTGATTTATACATCGGTTGTCCACCGCAAGTTGCAACTGTATAGGCCATACACGCACTCAAACTGAATGGAAAACGAATGCGGGGCACATCCCACAGAAGTGATTGATTAAAGCCAGAAACATTTTTCTTTATCTTTTCCTCCCCAGTTCTGTGATAAATGAAGACGATGTAACATTTTTTACAAGATTTTACATTTGAGAAAAACCAATCGATTAATCAGTAATGCACCAATAAGTGTCTACAGGTCGACCGTGTTCGGTCTAATTTGACGCACCATGTGCGGCTTTGAGGAAAATGACCCATTACTGCGAGGCTGGCGAAAGCACTATGTATAACGTGCGGAACTTGCGAACAATATGTCTCCTTCACAAATTTTTTTGGATTTTCCAACGTACCCGTTCCAGTGCGTTTTCTGCGAGGTTTCAACGTATGCAAGAAAGTTTTCAAGAGAATGCTCTCTTGAAATACACACTTGGCGGCTAGGACGTACAAAATGAAAGTTTCTTTACATTGAAGATCTAGAGACTCAAGGATGGGTAAGCTTCAGTGTTTGATCACAGGGATGTGAATTTTTCTCGAAATATTCGTTTCTATTCATGCAAACACGGCCAGCTGCGTAGAACGTGGGAATAATCACCGCCAAGTATCAAACTTAGCTAAAAAATGATGTGGAAATCATACGTGATTTGGAATCAGTTGGAAAATAAATGGGTGAAGGGTGCTTCAAAACTTGTTCGTAGTGCTCGTACCGGTTGGACATCGCTTCACTAGACGGTCTGTGTCAACTTTTTCTCGATCCAAGCAATTTGTGGCTGACACATAATATGTAAAGGAAGTTCGTGTAGTTTGAGTTTGATAACTTTGAGTGAATGACTGCCATTTATCTTTTTTGAGCTTTAAAACAGCAGAAATCCAGGGTACTATTGCTACAATGCGTTGTTGTAAAAACACGTTTTTTAGCGAATCTCTCAGACAGTCCACGAAAAAGGCTAGATATGAAGAACAAAGGTGAGTCGAGAACTACTGTGACAGAAATCCAGCTCCACTACAGCGGTGCAAATTCCGCTTCACTGTTGTGGTACGAACTTGTCGCCATCTCCTTAGTTGTATGCCCAGACCTTAAGGGTCTCTGCCATTGAATGCATCAATTTTGGATGTACTAAATATCTGAGGAAGAATGTTCATAGCTGGAGAATGGAGAATTTGTAAAATCGTTGAAAGATCGGATCCTGAAATCGTGAAAACTGCTACTCTCGCAACATCA